AAAGACACACCTCTGACTCACCACCAGCCTCTCCTCCAGAACGTTCCAGAGGTGGGGAGGACAGACCAGGAGTCACAGATACTGTGACCAAGCCTGCTGCTCAGCTGACTCTGCATGTTGGGCATATGCTAGACAAGTTTTGTAGGTCAGAGAAGAAATACACGTGAGATAGTCCCTGAACTCAAGAAGCAAATCCTGTAGGGGAGACAGCTCACACACTATATGGTTCTCTCAAAAATTTATCATATCCCACCTTTGGAGTTTGTCAATGGTAGTGGTTTTCAGGGAGCTCTCTTGATGGGAAAGAAAACAAATAAACTTTACTAAATGTACATATCCTCTTAGTCCAGTACAAGTCTGCCATATCGAGCTCACAATGAAAAAAATCTCAAAAAAAAATCATCTAACAAACATAAACTTAGTTAACTGTAATTTTAAAAATAGTATTCCAGTAGACCCCAAAATGACCAAATTACAATAAAATGTGGCAACTCTGAACAAAATAATAGAAATTGCTGGCCTAGTAATATACTAATACAGAAAGCAGTAGTAGCAACTCAGGTGAGAGGCAGGGGGTGGGTGCCAGCGCCTTTGAGGTTAAATTCCAAAGTCAAAGTGACCTTTATGAATTGCAGAAGTGATCAGAACAAAAAGAGAGAGAGAGAAGAAACCACACACACAGAAATTCAAAATGGCAAGTTTAAATAAAACATCCGGGGAAGGGAAAAATTTGTCTTTTCCCCAAATGTAAGGTAAGCAATGACTTTTACAAATACTATTTTTTAAAAAACTGTCTTGGAGTACCACAGTAGCCAGAATAAGAAAATGACTAAAAGTAATTGTTCAAATGAACAAATATTTATTGAGTGCCTATTAGACGTCAAGGCACTGTGCTAGGTATAAGGGTAGGGGTGGGAACATTAGAATAAACACATAAATGAAAAAGAGTTCTTTTCGTCAACAAGTACACATGAACAATAAGCACTTGAGGATATTCTGAGTGCTTTTATGTACATGAGCTCATTTGTGCAAGAGACAGAAGTGGTGTGGAGAGTGGCCAAGGCATTGGACTGAAGACCAGGAGAGAGAGATTCCAGTCTCAACTCTGTAACTGGCTCAAAAACTATGGACAACATACCTGAGCAAATGGAGGACCAAAACTGCCCTCCCCCAAGATCAGAAGACTAATTAATTACAGACCTGAAGGAGAATTCTGGTCTTCTGGCTCCTAGACAGTGATCTTTCCAAAATATTAGACATATGGTGTACCAATAAAGAGATAAAAACAGAAGAAAAGAAAACCTTTTGGTTTGAAGTCATTTGCAAAGGACGGGAAGAAGAAAAGAAGAGAATCAGGAAAGGGTGGGAGGAAACTGAAAGGTTCAAGTTGCATTAGTTAGAGATGTCCAGAAAGGAAGCACTTAAATAACAAGTGTAAACACAATGTAAGGATAATGTAAAATCTCTTATTATATTCTCATTCAAATCACTGCTTAGAATTTTTTACTCTAAAATCATTAAGGACCAACAGATAAAAGGTCCAAAATGATATAGATGAATGAGCTTGAGGAAAAAGAGATAACAGAGAAGAAGTGGGGCAGCGGGGGGGGGTGGGGGGGGGGGTAGTTTATAATAATATCATTCAAATACACAAAGCCCTTCTAAAGAGACAATTGGAACCCACTAGCCCAGATGAACAAGAAGAAATGGCATCACACTCTACAGCTTTTATGTCAGCAATTTACAAAATCTTTCAGAGTCAGAAGGTTAAACATTGGAATGTCTGACTAAGGTTAGGTTCATTCTGGAAATCATTCAAATTAAGAAGGAAACACTCCACATACACACCTGAAGGCACAATAATGAACCATCATGGGTTCCAATCAATGCGCTGTATCAGAACCTATAAATCTTGGAAAATGCAGACTCTCAGACCTATTATATCAGAATCCCTGGGTGCTGAGCCTAAGAATCATCTGGGCAGATTCTGAAGCAGCCAGACCGTGGAGCTTTGTTCTATCACAGAGGACAGGGTAAGGAGGGGGACTACTAGGAATTGCATCAGAGAGTGGGAACTAGATCAATGCAAATTTTGTGGGCAAAATAGAATTGCTGTGGGTGTGATATTTTTAAAATGTATTATAAGGCTGCTCTGAAGCATCCAAGCATATCCCACTGAATTTAAACATTTTCTAAAGGTCCTGAAGTCAGCAACTACAGTTCAGGTGAACCCAAAGTTACTCCTCTACGTCGTAACCAGTCTACAGAAGAGGCAGTGGAGGGGGACTGGCGCAGAGAGACGCCAAGGAGATGTGGGTAAATACTTTTAAAAACCAAAACATCAGGAAGAGGAAAAGAGACCAGAAATAATCACTCGCCTTCCTCCTCCCTTCCAAAAAACGAGTAATAATAAAGAAAGAACAAGAAGAAAGAGAAAAGGAAAGTAGTTTTAGGGTACATTTCATCTCCATCTGAAAGAAAAAAAACAATCGCTCTTTGTGATTTTTTAAAAAGCAAGAGAAGAATTCAGCTGAGAAGTTATCTAGCAGGCAGAAAAACCAGGGAGTCACTGCCCATGGCAAAGCAAAAGTAAACAAGGAGCAAGGGGTGGTCTTGGATAGCTGTTTAGACAATCAGACAGAGGGGTTGACAGCTCCTTGCCTTAGGAACTCAGTGATGTTTAAATTAACGACTGGCCACAAGCCAAATACAGGAACACTCAAAAGTTTGGAAGAGTGTTATAATTGGTACCTCGGCAAAACACAATGCTGATAAGCTGAGAAGATTCAAGAAGCCTTCACTGCTAGACTCTGAAAAGTTTTAAGATTTGTACTGAGAAATGTTTTTTAACCTCTTATAGTGCAGTAGCTTAGTATCTGAAGAATACCTGTCGATTTTTTAAAAATTAAAATATCAAATCTTGTCCTTTCAGCTAATTGACTAACACTCACTTTTCCACCTGAAAGGCAGCTAGTAATAGCAATACCTGCTCAGTGCAGAAGTATAAAAGAGGGTGTCATTCTCTGTAGTGAGGGCCTAGAATGAGAAGCCCTGTGTGTCAGAGTATCCTACTTCTGACACCAGTCTTATCATTTAACACTTAATTTTGCAATCATATTATTCCTTCCAGCTCTCTAAAGAAGGTTATTTCTTGAGTTCTATTTTATAGGTGAGGAGACAACAGATCATGAAGATTACATTATTTACTAAAACAAGTTAATGGAAGACCAAGGATTGTAACCCTCAGACTAGCCCATTGTTTATACTCCTCTCTATCCTAAATCTACACTTATACTAAAGTTCCCACTCAAACAAAAAAGAAATGCAAAAATGCCAATCTACATGCTTTGTCAAACTCTTCCGAAACAACAGTTTTTGTTCATCATCACACAGCCTCATGGTCCACTTCTGAAATTCTTAGGGACCTAGAGGTGTGAAGAATTTGAACTTCCCAAGAAGAATGTGGTTGATGCCGAATCCAGCCCTGTAATAAATAACCTTGTTCTCTTTTAAACATCTGTGATTGGCATGTCGACTGCCTGTTAACAATGAACAAACAGCAAATTTTTCTGAAGCTCCTCATCTTCTTAACCTTTTCTTTGCAAAGAGACACAGCTCATATACTAGTTTTTTGATAAAAGTAAAAATTTTCCTTCAGATTAGGCTAGGAAAAGAAGGGACCCCTTTCAATTTCAACAAACATGCACAAGCGACCATCCCACTGGAAGCAGAGTTGGGAAAAAATAAAAACCAGCCCTGCCCTGAGAGGACTTTCTACCTTTTGACTGCCATGGGTTTAATACACATTCTCTTAATTAATCCTATTAGCTGGCTAATTTTATTCCCATTTTATTGGTGAGTTCATACAGCATAGCTGGACTTGAACCCAGGATTACAGAGCAGGGCTCCAAAGCCCCAGCTCTTTCCACTAAACAGCCTGAAGAAATCTGGAATCCAAGAGTGCGAGTGGGATGGGTAACATATGATTCGATTTCCTTTCCTTGGTCCAACCGTGTTAAGAAAGGCTGTTGCAAATATCCAACCATAAAGAGGCTTTCTAAGGAAGCACTTTGAATTAACGTATCCACTTTTCCTCACCCGCCCGTGCCCCACCCCCAACCATGCCAAAAGAGCAGCAAATGCCGCAGCCAGGTTGGAGGAGTTGGTGATCGTCACACCACATTCCTGGGGCTGGACACAGACTCTGAAACAGCGCCCGAGGTCCGCGCCTCGGAAAGAATAACAGCAGTTGAGATTTTTAAATCATATGGCTCACCATGCAGCCACACCAGTTTTCCTTCTGCTCCTGCCTCCACCTTTCCAAGACTCGAGCCAAACAGACCGGATTTATCGGGACCATGGATTCGGAGTGTCAGAATTCAGACGCATCGCAAAACCCTGTCCCCATCCAAACCAAACCCACCCACCCACCCAGATTGTGTGCCTCCCTTTGGCGAAGCGAAGGCAGGCTGTGAAGGTGCAAGCCGTTGGCCTCGGAGGCCCTGCCCCCGCTCGCTCCTCGCCAGAATCTGGCATTCCTTCGCTCAGCCCATCTGCGGTCCGCGGCCGGCGAGGGCTCGTCTCGGGCAGCCCGCCCCCGGCTCTCCCTCAACCCCAGGAAACGCGGAACCAAAAGGGCAAGACTGCCCAACTCCCCGAATTGAAGCGCTCGAGAAAGGGGGTTTCTGAGACTTGCTGCCCGGCCTTCCTCCGGCCGAGGAGGCGTGTGTGGGGCCACCCGCGAGGGGAGCCGGAGGCAGCGGGGAGCGAGGGGAGGAGGCGCTCCCGGGGAGGGGGCCCCGACGATGTGCAAACTTTCGGGAACCAAGTGGCCTCGCTCCGCGCCGACGGCCGAGCCCGGCCTTATCCCAGAGAGGAGGACGCAAGGAGGGGAATGGTCGCCCCAGGTGGCCGGCCGGGCCGGGCGGGGGCGGCGGGGCGCGGGGGCTGGGTGCGCGGGCCTGGGCACGGGGGACAGCAGCCCTCGGCGCGGTACTCACCACGGGCGGGGGCCGCGCGGCACAGCCAGAGCGCCAGCAGCGCCCACAGCTGAGCCGGGCGCAGGGCGGGCATCTTCTCGGTCGCCTCCTCCTCCGCCGCCGCCGCCTGGGCAGATCCACATGGGAAGGGGGTCCCGACAGAGAAGCCCCCACTTTCTCCTCCCCTGCTCCTGCTTTTGCGGCTCACGGCCTCGCGCTGCGCCCCGAAGCTCAGCTTCAATGCCTCCACTCCCTGTACCCCAAGGCCGCAACTCCTGGGCCGCCACCTCAGCCGCCGCCCGAAGTTTTGCCGAAACTTTCTCGGGTGTGCAGCGAAGCAGCCTCGTGTGTCCTTCCGCCTCGCCCGCCTCCTCCCTCTGCAAACCCCGCCCCGCTGTCGCCCTAGCCGGGCCCCGCCGCCTTCGGCACCCAGGGGTTTCCCGCAGGAAGAAGCGCCGGCCCGAGCTGCGCGCGGAGGGATCTACTACGGTCCTCAGACACCCACTCCAGCCTTCTCCAAGCCGCGTTGGGTACGGACGCGCCTTAACTCAGTCGGCGCTGGAGCGCCTCGCTGGGCCGGTCTCTGGTGAAGGGGGTGGGTGTTAGGACTCTGAGCTTCATACACTAGGATTGCCGAGATCGTGAACTTGCAGGGAGAGACAGCCCTCATCCAGTGAGATAGGTCTCGCCCCGCACACCCACGCGTCCACACACTCTCGAGCTAGCTAGAGGAAGGCAGTAGAGAAGGACCAGTGCTGTCAAAGAAGGAAATAGGGGCTAAGGCGCCAAAGCCGTTTAAAATGAACAGAGCCATCAACTGGGCTGTGCTGTACCATTCATTCATTCTTTCATTCATTCGTTTAGCAACTATTTCTTAAGCGCCTTATTTTGGGAAGCGTTGTGCTTGGCACGATGAAATGATACCAAAGACGCATGATGCGCAAGCTACTTTTGAGCACCAGGACTTTGCTGCTGCGGGCCGGTGAATTCAGAGAAGGCTTTCACGGAGGAGCTGGGATGAGAGCAGGATCTTGAAAGGTTAGTAAAATTTGTGTAGGACAAGGAGACCAGCTAAGGATATTCATTGTAACATTTTCTGTAATAGCCAAAAATTGGAAACAACCTAAATGCCCACCCATAGAGGAATGGATGAATAATGGTATACTTATAAACTGAAATGCAGTACAGCAACTGAAAATACTATATTCACATATATCAATAGGGATGAATCTTAAAAATAAAATGATAGTGAAAAATTAATTGCTGAAGGAGATATAAAGTATATCATTTATGTATGTTTAAATTTTTTCAAAATAATACTATATATGATTTATGGATGCATGCCATACAGTATATAGTCATAGAATATAACTGAAATAATGGTCACTTTCAAGGCAGGACCCGGGGGATGTGATCATACATGGGTACAAATGGGCTTGCTATTTGTAAGAAAAGAAATAAACGGCAAAAAAAAAAAGTTTGTGTGGGTGTAGCATTCCAGGTGAGAGCCACTGTAAAAGCAAAGGTACAGATCAGGGAATGAGTAGATGAGTTCTGGCACTATGAGCAGTGACAGGAGTCAAGGCGGGAAAGAGTGTTGGGACCAGATTATGCAGGACCTTGAATGACAAGCTGAAAAGGGGGAGGGGCAGTTCTCTCTTAGGTCACGGAAAACCATTGAAGGTTTTTGAACAGGAGTGAGACTTGATGGAAAGGAAGGTTGCTCTGATAATCCTGTGCAAAATTGATTGTCAGGAGCAAAAGATGAACTGGAGTCCAAGGGCCAGTCAGGAGTTGGTGAAACAGACCAGGCATGGGTGATGAAGGGCTGAACTAATGAGGTAAATGTCAGAGTGGAAAGGAAGAGATGGATCTGAGACAATCTTGAAAGAAAAAAAAGAGAGTGGGGGGAGGGGCAAACCCATGTGACTAATTGGATGTGGGAGTTTATAGTCCTTTTGGGGAGGGAAATCCTACCCACAGAGCCTCTCCCTGGCTCCTATAGGATAAAGTCCAAACTTCTAAAAAACGGTAAATACAAGGCCTTTACTTCATTGGGCCCCATCTCTTGTCCTCTCTGCCCCCACTGTGAACTTTACACAATAACGGTATTGAATGACTTGAGATTCCCCCAAACATCTTCTTGTTTCAGTCTCTGTACCTTCTGTTCCCCTGGCTTAGAATGACTCTTGTAGTCCCCTTCCCTCCTCCTCTTGTTGAACTTCTAATCATCATTCATCCTTCAGTCCTGAGAAGGCTTTGCAAATTCCTTCCCCTCACAGACAGTCTCTTGGCTGTACTGCTTCTTTATCTTACACTGATATCTATTTTTCACACAGGACTCCTTATATTTTCATCTTCTCAACTAGATTAGGAGGTCCTTATGGGCAAGGACCATGGCCTTATTCATTCCCAGCGTCTATCACATAATAGCTATTGAACTAGAATGTAAAACAACAGTAAACAGGTGCAAGTCAGTATGATCACTGGCTTATGAAGTTGCAACACTGGATTTTAATAAGCACTTTATAATAGCTAAGCAAGTACTATTATTGAAAGTAGTCACCTTGGGATGCTAGAAACTCTTCAAAAATAACATAATTAGTCAAGATAGTTTTGGAATTTCCCTTGTGCAAATACGTTCAGAGAAAGATAATAACATTACTTTTTAGTTGTGGACCCATAGAGTTAACAGCTTGATCATTCTCTTTACTCACTAAATATAGCTCATGGTGACTTGGCTATATATAAATTTTAAAAATCACTTGCAAAAGTTAGATTTGTCACTGTTAAAATCTATTCAGAAGAATGTAGGAGTAATCATTCCCAAAGAGCAGTTCTAGAAATGACTGGGGCTATGCCAACATTATCAAAACAGGTGTGCAGTTTCTGAAGGTGACTGTTTTAAGGAAAGCAGTTATTATGATCACATCTAACTTTTTTTTGGTTTTGTTACAATGTTAAATTTATTGCATACATTTCCATAAGGACAAGAGGAATAAAGAATAAATGTTATGAGTGAAAGTAGAAGGCTATGACCAAAGAATTGTTTTAAAAGACGTGTTTCGGAGGAAGCTATGGATATAAATTGGTAAAAACAAAACAAAACAAAAAGGGAGCTGAAAATCAAGGGAAGAAGTAGAATTGGCAAAAACTGAGAGATGAGAACAAGAAGTCCAACCTATCAACAAGCATTTTGGTGAATATTTACCATGGGCGAGATCCTGTGTGAGGAGTTGAGAGAGAAAGAGAGACAAGTAATCAACAGTTAAGATCAGTATGACAAGTAGAGTGTTGCGGGTTCACAGCTGAGGAACTGGGTAGTCCAGTCAGGGTAGGCTTCCAGGAACACCTCAGCAGCCAGACTAAGACTTGGAGGACCAAAGATTAAGCAAGCAAAGAAGAGATTTCTCATGTTTAGAGGTCTAAGGCTATTTGAGGCACAGGGAACAAGTATAGAGGCAGGTAAACAATAGAAACCAGAGCCTGTTACCTAAAGCGGGAAGACAAGAACTTAGGCAGGGCCTGTGGGAATGCAGAAAAGATGGGCATTGGCTCCTAAGACTAATAACTGCTTAGATGAAAGAGGAACAGTAGATCAAGGAATAAGCAATGACCTCAGTATCTTGAGGCATAATGAGCTATTCCCAGATATAGGAAATATAGGAGAAGGGAAAGGAGGTTTGGTAGAGTATTTAAGCAGGCAAGATATCAAAGTCTCTGGAAGGGGAAAATGGTGTTCAGGAGGAGCAGCAGCAGCTGTTGACTGCTTCAGGGAAAGCCAGGAGTAGACTGACTGAACTGTACTGAAATATGCTTTCTGCTATTGGCCTCTCCCCAAAGCTAAGCCTAAATTCCAGTGTGTGCATTTAGGTGACCATTTCTCTCATCCCTCTCAGAAGCCAAGGGGTCTTGTGATGGTGTCTCAAAACTTGAGTAGCAGCTGAGGATATGAAGGCAAGGATCTGCCTGGAGATGTCAGCCCCAAATGTGCTCAGCACATTAATTTCTCAGTTGAATTGGAGCATGGTCTTCCCCAAGGTGAGTGCTTCTAGTCAAAGCAAATCCTACTTTGTAGGAGAAATTGGCAGGAAAACATTCAGGTGATCCTATAATTAATCATAGCTATTGCTATTCCTTAAAGTTCCATAGCTTCACTGATACAAAGAAAAATAGGATCCCACAAACTTTCATCTGAAAGAAAAATCTCAGTCTCCAAGACCAAATAAAAATTTACAGATGATTAACAGTCTAAGGGCCAATTCTAGTTTTCGTTTTAGTCAAAACTAAATATATATGTATATACGTATGTATATACATATGTATGTATATGTCTTTAATAATTAAAACTCACATGTAAAATTGCCTCCTGAAACAAATGCAGAATTAGGCACTTACTTGTTCTCATGTCTGTTCTCTCAGATCCAATAAGCTGAAAAAACCCCACAAGGGCAGAGATCCTGTGTCATTTGTCTATTTTGCCCCAGTTCCTAGCACAGTAGTTAGTACACATATGTGCTCAATGTGTAACATTAAATAAATGTTGAGGGAGGGGCATATATATCTACATGAATTGGAGAGAGACGCAAGATTGAGAGAAAATCGAGGTGTTTCCAAGCCTGAATCATTTAAACACTATCAGTGCTGAAGAAAAGATTCTGGGGTCCATATTAAGGAAAGGTTGACATATCAAGCTACTCCACACATCTTACAACACAACCCAGGAACCTAGGGTTGTGTGATAAAGTGTTTGTGGAAGCAGGAATTAAAGGGAAGATTTCTTTCAAAATAATGCCTTGCATTTGTGAAGTGCTTCAGGCTTTCCAAGCCACTTTTAAGTATATTATCTGATTTGATCCTCAAAGCAATCGTGGGAAATAGCCAACCCAGTCATTATTATTCCCATTTCACAGATGGAGAAACTGAGATAGAGTTTAAGTGTCTTGCCCAAGGTTAAATAACTCCTTTGTGACAGAGTTGAGACAGAACCCCACTGTTTCTGATTTCTTATTCAGTCTCATTCCACTGTCCCTTCCTGCAACACTGTGAAGCATATCCAAGACAGTATTTAGTGTTGGGACCTCTGGGCAGAGGTCCACTAGCTTCTTATCACTTCCATATTGGTACAGAACAATCTGACCCACTGTAATTAGGAAACCTAAGCAAGCAAGTGCATTCTTTTATTTAAAAGCATTTTTTGAGAGCCTACCCTCTACAAAGCACATTCTTGACTCTGGCAGTACAAACATGAATCATATCCAGCCCCTGTTCTCTGGAGATCACAGGGCACTGAGTGAGGACAACATACAAACAACATAACTACAACAGAGATAAAGCACGGGGCTGTGGAAAAGTAGAGAGTGCTGTGATTAATTCTAAGGCC